AACAAGAAAATTAGGCCCAGGAATTAAATATGGCAGTTGGTTTGCTGTTATGAAAGTGTTCACATATAATGAGAAACAGAATAGCATGGTGAATTCTTATAGACCCATCACTGGATTCAACAGTTATAGAAAATATGGGGCACCTGGGTGGCTCAGGTCATGGTCCCAGGGTCCTGGGATCGAGCCCCACATCGGGCTCTCTGCTCAGTGGGGAACCTGCTTCCCTTCCTCTCTCTCTGCCTGCCTCTCTGCCTACTTTTGATCTCTGTCAAATAAATGAATAAAAATCTTAAAAAAAAAAAATGCCACAATTGTTTCATCTATCCTTTCTCCCACTTTTTTCTGACTTGGCTTAGAAATATTTAAAAGCAAATTATAGACAGTAAATAATATTTACCCCTGTATCCTTCAGTTTCAATCTCTAAAAGAAAATAAAGACATTTACTTTTTTAATAATAGTCCCATTAGGAAACCTACAAAATTAATAATAATTTCTTGGTATAATCTGACATTCCAGTTCATAATCAGGGTTCTCAATTTGTCTCAAAATGTATTTGTATAGTTGATATGTTCAAATTGATCCAAACAAGATCCCTGCATGGTATCTGGTTGTGTGTGTGGTTTTTTTTCCTCATGCCATTTGACATACTGAAGGAACAGTTTGCTTGTAGAATATCCCACATTCAGAATTTGACTTGTCGTTTAACTTGTTCCTTTGTCTTTTTGTATTTCCAGTAATTTGAAGCTAGTTGTTAAAGTTTGATTGGATTCAGGTTTTATATTTTTTGGCAAGAAGACCTAATAGGTAATGCTGTATGAAATAGGTGATTTTCAATATTTTATGAAGTTTATGAAAAAGTTCATTTTATCTTAAAATTAGAAATATTTTCCTCTGCTAATATAGCATTGGGCAAGGAAATCCTATCATACTGTTTTTCAGTGAACAGTATTCATGGGGTCATGTTAAGGTAAACTGCTGTTTGCTGTTTTTCAACTTTTAGAATCAGCGTATAGTAAGACGAGAAGTTTTCATTGTATTTAGGGAACAGAACATAGTTTTTAAGTTTGTTAACATGAGTTAGGAGAAGTTGGGTGGGGAAAGTGGGAAAGGCACCTGCATCCTTATCTGCAAATGAGGGAATTAAGAAATGCAGAATAAAAATCAGAAGTTTAAGTATATTTAAGATCACAAAGGAAACAAATTATGGTATTAGAATAATACAATTATTAGAAATATGGGAGAGCGTTACTGTAAATGAACTTTAATCCTCATCTCTCATGTAAGAGGATTAATAGATAAGATCTAAAGATGTTTTTATTGCTTTTGGTAAATTCATCATTTTTATTTAAATTCTCGTGTAGGTAACCACCAGAGAAACTTAAGAAAGACTTTTAAAGTGGCTGTGTCTGGAGAGTGGAGTTGAGGGTAGAAGGAGCGGAAAGGAATTTTTCTTTTGATTGTACATTTTTCTGGACTCTTTGTTGCTGTTTAACCATGCACATTCACTAAGGAGAGTAATACCTTTTCTCCCCTTAGTCTTAATTTCTACCCTAAAATGTGGTTTCAACAAGTAAAGTCTACTTTAATGTAACCTTAGTTTTCAAATGTATGATGATGACAGGTCAGATATATGAAAGAATTAAGCACACATCAGAAAAACAAGTTCTGTGCACTTCAAGGATTTGAAATGCTTGTCTTTCAGTTCTTGCCATTGATTTCCTGCTTTGGGGCCCCTCTGTCATGTGTGGAGCCAGTGTCTTTAACATTTTAGTATAATTAATTTTTAAATTTCAGCTTAGTGACAGCATGCCACAAAGTAGCAAACTGCCTAAGAAAATGATCCTGAAAAGAAATGAGAGCTCCAAAAATAACCTCCTAGTCAACTAAAGAAAAGCTGACAATGATGAACTTCGGGAGGATGACAGATGCTTCCCAGAAAAGTTTAACTAATTGTTTTAAAGTCTGAGTAGTTAGTAACTCTCTACTCAGAAACTGATCCATTGTACATAATGAATATAGACAAATGAAGAACTTATGGAAATTGCAGAATGTTGCTTTTTCTGAGTGGGAGAAATACCATGTATCATTGGAAGATCCCATTTCGTAACTCACCATGCTTGGAAGAATGCAGAATTTAAAGAGTGCTTCAGGCAAGAGATGGAGGGTCAAAATCCATGTTGCCTAAGAAGAGTCTCTAGTGATGATCTCTCTGAATGTAATCCTAGTTGAAAAGAGAAAGATATATGAAAACTTTAAAACAATACCATGGAAAAATATTACCTAGCAAGCATTTACTTCATTTTAATGCAGGGTATTCAGATTTAAATTTAAGTTACAATAATAACTTGGGTCTTTGGCCCAAGTTAACTGGACAAAACTCCCCCCACAAAACTTGTTTTTAATGTAATTTAATCTCTGGTAATGAGCCGTGAAGTTTCTTTGAAGTTTCAGTAGATGTTGAGTTAGCTCTTCTGTTGAACTCTGTTGTTTGCTTTTTCATCTCAGGTTACTAATTTTCATTCATTATAAAGTCTAGCACAAGAATATATTATGTATATTTGTATAATTCATGTATTCTAAGTGTTATTCACTTTTCAGTGCCACCTAATGATTATTTATAGAATATGGCTATTAAAATGAGCAGTGGATATGAAATCAGGGTGAATCATAAGCTTGGCTCTAATCCTAGATTATGTAACAGTGGACAAATCATTTAATTTATCTGGGCCTATTTCCTCTTTGATGAATAAAGGAGTCGATTTGACCCTTTATTCCATGATTCTGTTTCATAGTCAAAGCAAAAGTTCATACATAATGAAAGATTTTATGAAAAGTATGCACATGGGGCGCCTGGGTGGCTCAGTGGGTTAAAGCCTCTGCCTTCGGCTCAGGTCATAATCCCAGGGTCCTGGGATCGAGCCCTGCATCGGGCTCTCTGCTCAGCAGGGAGCCTGCTTCTTCCTCTCTCTCTGCCTGCCTCTCTGCCTACTTGTGATCTCTCTCTGTGTGTCAAATAAATAAATAAAAAATCTTTAAAAAAAAAAAAAGAAAAAGAAAAGTATGCACAAACTTATCCTCAATCTTGCCACATTCCTTACACTAATAAAGTGTCATGTGGAAAACACGAGATGATTTTTTCTTCTGCCTAAATTTATAAAATGTCAGAATTTATAAATCTGGCTTAACTTTTCAAATTTTTAGTTTGAGGAAAAAGATAAACTCCATATTAGACCTAGTAAATACTAAACCAAAATGAAGTATAATTAAATTTTTAGAAGTATCATATCCACAAAAGAAAATCCAGAGGGCTCTTGTCCCGTTATTATTGCTGCTAAACAATGTACCCCAAAACACAGTGGCTTAAAACAATAATAATTTAATTAGCTCATGAACCTGCATTCTGGGTAGCTCCTTTCTGCTCCACACATCAGCTGGAATAGCCCAAAGATTGGGGCTGATTATTTTCTCAGCTCTCCCCTTTACAGCAAAACACCTCAAAAGAGTTTTCTGTTGTCACTATCTCTAATTCTCTTTGCCATTTTCCCTCTTTAAGATTATTTTTAAAAATAATTAATTTTGAAATAATTTTCAAAATGTAGAGAAGATCTGCCAGAAGGGGGAAGACTCCTGTATCCCTTCACCCAGATTCTCCAGTTACTAACATTTTATCGAATTTTTCTGTTGTTCATTACTCCTTCCTCTCCCTCCACACACACACATCTCCCAAACATGTGTGATCATTCATCCTTTTTTGAACCTTTAGAAATCAAGCTTTATACATAATAGCCCATCACTCCTAAATGTTCCAGTCTGTATTTTCCAATGAGAACATTCTCTTACATAACTGACATACACCTCCAAATAAGGAAACCAGCATTGTCACAACACTGCCACCCAGTTCACAAACCTCATTCATATTTCACCAACTGTCTCAGCAGTATCTCTTGTGCTATCTTTTCTGATCCAGGCTCCTGTCCAGAATATGTGATGCATTTAGTCTGTTCAGACTCATTCACTTTAAAACAGTACTGAGGTCTTTCCCTTGACAGTTTCAGTGAGTATAGACTTTACATCATGTAGGATGACCCTAAACCTTGATCCACCTGATGATGACTGATAACTATACTTAAGGTCCGACATTCTTGGCAACAACAGCCCTGAAATGAAGTTATGCAATATGTGAAGTGATACACATCATTGGTCATGTTAGCCGTGATTTCCTGATCACATTGACATCTGCCAGATTTTCTACATTAAAGTCACCATCAACCCTTTTGTAATTGGTCAGTATTCTGTAGAGAGTTTTCCAAGAGTACTTTAATATGTTCCTCATCTAACCTCCACCCACCAGCTTTGGCATCCATTGACAGCTCCCATCTGAATCAAACACCTCTGTGATAGTTGTCAGGTGGTGATTTTCTGTTCCCTTCATTCCTTCTGCATTTACCAGTTGGTCACTATATTAAAAGGAGGAGCTTTTTCTTCATTTATTTATTTTTTTTTTTTAAATAACATAAGGACTCACAAATTCCTATTTTATTTATTGGGGTAATCCATTGTTATCATTGTTTATTTTGACATTAAAATTGTCTATTTGGCCAGTGGGAGCCCCTTCCAGTTGCTTCCTGTGTTTTTTTGATACATCCCATCATTCACTGAGCATTTCCTTATTTTTAGGCATGGACAGTATCCCAGGGTCATTTTTTACTTTCCCTGGCCCAGCCCTGGAATCAGTCTTTTCTCCAGATCTGGTTCCTCTTAGGGTAGGTATTTAGAAAGCAACCTCTGGGCACTTGACGTGCTCCATGCTTCAGGGGCATCATCACTTCTAGGGGCCCTCAGCCAAAAAAAGTTAGGAATATATCTATATATAATGTTAGAAACAAGTTAATTTTAATATGTTAGAGCTTTGATTGTAAGGCATTAACTAAAAATATTGCATGATAGTCCAATCAGTGAGAAAAATTAACTTTTATTTTCTTTGTTTCTCCTTACCTAGGTATGTGCAATCCTCGAAACTACAGTGACACACCTCCAACCTCAAAGAGCACTGTGGAAGAGCTTCATGAGCCAATCCCTTCTCTCTTCCGGGCACTCACAGAAGGAGACACGCAGTTGAACTGGAACATTGTTTCCTTCCCTGTTGCAGAAGAACTCTCACATCATGAGAATCTGGTTTCATTTTTAGAAACTGTGAACCAGCCACACCATCAAAATGTGTCTGTTCCTAGCAATAATGTGCATGCACCTTATTCCAGTGACAAAGGTAACTACCCACAGTTGACTTCCCATCTTGCCCCCTCATTTTCTGTGTGGTCTGTGAAACCTATATTACCTTTTAGAGCAGTTTTTGGCTTTGAGTTTGTCTAGTCTTAAATGAATTTTGGACTTTAATAACCCTAGTCCTTAAGTAGATAAGGAAGCATGTCAAGCATTTTGTCACGACTCCTTCATAGCCTCAGTGATACAGGTTGTGTTGGAAGACAGATAACCTGGTTCTAATTTTGAGGTTTATTTGTGTTAGGCTTTAATTGTTCTTTCCATAAGATAGCAACAGCACTCCTTGCTTAATATGGCATTGCTCACTGTCAGATAACGTTCAGAGTGTCCAGATGGTCACGTTTTTGTAATAGCATTGGTACTACAAATGATGCCAAGGTTATCAGCTAAATCTCGTTATGAGCAAGTTAGTATTCCAGACATCTAATTTCCAGGTATAAACTAACTCCACTACTCTTGGTCTGAGGGGAGCTAAAGGGAAGAATGGCCTATATAACTTTGAGAAGCATATTAAAAAAGGCTTATTAGGGGGCACCTGGGTGGCTCAGTGGGTTAAAGGGTCTGCCTTTGGCTCAGGTCATGATCCCAGGATCCTGGGATCGAGCTCCGCATCAGGCTCTCTGCTCAGCAGGGAGCCTGCTTCCTCCTCTCTCTCTCTCTCTCTCTCTCTCTGCCTGCCTCTCTGCCTACTTGTGATCTCTGTCTGTCAAATAAATAAATAAATAAATAAATCTTTTTTTAAAAAAGAACGCTTATTAGGATAAGTCATTCCTTAATTTTGGAATGTACAGGGCATGTCACTTTTATCAAGTCTTTGATATATTCAAATAAAAGGCTCTGTACAATTTTACTGTGGAAAAATAAGACAATTATGAACATTGCAGTTATTTCTTAAAATATGAGATGAATTATGCATAAATAGTATAATTTACACTTTTTTTAAAGATTTCATTTACTTATTTGAGAGAGAGCAAGTGAGAGAGCATGAGCAGGGGCAGAGGGAGAGAGAGAAGCAGACTCCCTACTGAACAGGGAACCCGATGTGGGGCTTGATCCCAGGACCCTGGGATTATGACCTGAACCAAAGGGAGACACTTAACTGACTGAGCCACCCGGGCACCCCTATTCTTTTTTATTTTATATTTTTTTTTTAAAGATTTCATTTATCTATTTGTCAGAGAGAGAGAGGGAGAGAGAGCAAGCACAGGCAGACAGAATGGCAGGCAGAGGCAGAGGGAGAAGCAGGCTCCCCGATGAGCAAGGAGCCCGATGTGGGACTCGATCCCAGGACGCCGGGATCATGACCCGAGCCGAAGGCAGCTGCTTAACCAACTGAGCCACCCAGGTGTCCCACCCCTATTCTTTTTTAATTTGGCTTTTTGTTGTGCCCCTTATTACAATCCTGCCTGTGTGAAATAGTGTGAACTTTGGACATCAGTAATAAAAGCAAAACAGCATTTGTTAATGATATTCAGATTAAGAATTCCTATTGTTTTTGTTAAATTACTTGAAAGACAATTCTAGATTTTGGAAAATACCAAAAATACGTGGAGTGTGCCTTATTCAGATATTGTACCACCATTTTCCCCACTAAAATGTAATCTACATAATAGATATTAAATAATAATTCATAAATTGTTTTCAAATATTTAGTTTAATGAAATAATTACCAGGCTGCCAAGTTTCCTGGAAATACCAACTATCTTTCAAGACAAAGTTAAAATTTTTCCTCTTTGACAACTTTTCTAGGAACCCCTTGCTCCCAGGTGGAATAAACTACCTCCTATTCCTGTAACTACCTTCTTCCCATATTTGTTTTTTGGTTTGTTGTCTGTTTTTAACTTCTAGGTCTTTCATTTTCTACTTTGTTCCTTGGATTCTCTGATTACTCTTTGAGTCCTAGTGGCTATTATGCCATAGTAGGTATTCAGTTAAATACTTGTTGAATAAATAAATGAAAGAAATTTGGTAGATACTAATCACCTGAGATTCAAAGCTCCCCTATCCTGCTCACTGCCAATCCCTCATTTGCTATGCAGGCCTTGCTATTTTCCCTTTCGACCTGATAACTCAGTAGCAGTTCTGCTGTTTCCTGATGCTAACTATTCACTGCAGTGGGCTTGCCTCCACTCCATTCCCCATGGCACTACACTGCTCTCCTTGTGACTTTCCTTATTTTGTTACTTGACAACTTTGCTTTTAATTCTTCTTCCTAATACAAGTCCAGTTTTTTCCATTAAGCCTTTCTTTACCGTTCAGACCCCTGGTGACTGAACAGTTCTATAAATGGCTCTGTAAAACAACAGACTTTAATCATACACTCTCTATTAATGGTTTTTATTGTCTTTTATTTATTTCATGTACCTTATCTTCCTAGCAGGGTCATTATATGGCATTAACTGCCAGGAGAACTAAATATTGAAACAAAATAGTTGTGTTGAAAAGCAAGACTAAAAATTGCTACTGATAATAAGAGTATTTTTTAATAGCTAATGTTGAATTGTGCTAAGTGCTGCTAACCACTTTGCATCATTTGAATTAAGTTTGCTTTATCTTATTGTAAATTTTCAGTATAACTTTAGAACAGTATTTTTTCTTTCTGTTTTTTTTTTTTTTTTTTTTAGAGGGAGCAAGAATGGTGAGGGGCAGAGGAAGAAGGAGAGTTTTTTTTCTTTTTTGAGAGAGAGAGAGTGAGAGAGAGAATATTTTTTTTCTTTTTTTTTTTTAACTTCTTTTCAGTGTTCCAGAATTCATTGTTTATGCACCACACCAGTGCTCCATGCAACACATCCCCTCCATAATACCCACCACCAGGCTCACCCAACCCCTCACCACCTCCCCTCCAAAACCCTTAGGTTGTTTCTCAGAGTCCAAAGTGAGAGTGAGAGAGAGAATCTTAAGCAGGCTCCATGTCCAGCACAGAGCTGGACTGTGGGGCTCAATTTTACAAGCTGAAGTCAAGAGTTGGACGCTCAACCAATTGAGCCACCCAGGTGCCCTTAAAACAGTATTTTTCAAACTCCTTTTAGTTGGAGAATTCGCTCCTCTAAGGAAATCTTATCAGAAATGCCCAATTAAAAAAAACACAGCTCTGGGGGTGCTTGGGTGGCTCAGTGGGTTAAAGCCTCTGCCTTCGGCTCAGGTCATGATCCCAGGGTCCTGGGATTGAGCCCCGCATCGGGCTCTCTGCTTAGCAGGGAGCCTGCTCCCTCCTCTCTCTCTCTGCCTGCCTCTCTGCCTACTTGTGATCTCTGTCTGTCAAAAAAATAAATAAAATCTTAAAAAAAAAAAAAAAAAACAGTTCTGAAGTGTAGCAAATTTTAAGCCCGATAATCTTAACTTTGAGATCAAAGTCTAGAATCTAAGGAAGTCCCTCTACCTTCTTCAGCTGGAGTGGGAGACTCTGACCTCCTTCTCAGTTTAATTAACAAATGTGATCTTTTTTCCTACACCTCAGCCATTGTTCTATGCAGAGTATCGGTAAGGGAACTAAGAATAACTATTGGTATCAGCCAGATAATAAAGCATTTCCTGCTTTTCCTCTTTCTTGCTCTGAGCTCTTAATTTTTTGTTTTTCAGAACACATGTGTACTGTGGTTTATTTTGATGACTGCATGTCCATACATCAGTGTAAAATATCCTGTGAGTCCATGGGAGCATCCAAATATCGCTGGTTCCATAACGCCTGCTGTGAGTGCATTGGTCCAGAGTGCATCGACTATGGTAGTAAAACAGTCAAATGTATGAACTGCATGTTTTAAAGGAGAAGAATGCAAACCAAAGCATTTTAGTCAACAAGAAAGATGTAAAAAACTATTTGGTGAGGTCTACTGGTTGTACCAGGATGCCAGCAGGTTAAGGAAATATAAGAATTTGGACTGAGTTAAAGTATGACGAATGCATTAATGTGTTAAATTATAAGTATAACTGCTCTGGTTGGTTTTATAGCCCACTGGCAATAAGCCCCTTCCTCTATATACATTTACAGCTTTGCTCATATGAGAAGCAAGTACACAGAGAATTCCTTGTAAGATCTGAGGTCTCTGACATAAAGCCCGAGGTCTTTTTTTTCTAGCATTCCCAAAGCCTTTGGTTTTGAAAGTGTTCGAGGACGTTAACGTAAGTTATGGTTTCTTCATTTACTGCTCCTGAGACGCTGAGTTTTTCCAGTTGCACACTAGACGTCATTCACTGTGCCTTGTCTCGTTTATCTCTTCTGTAAATAGGGTAGATACTCAAATATATCACCCTGAGAACTCCCGTAAAAATCACTGTCAAAAGCTTAATTTCAAATCTTGTAATGTTGGTTTTAGAAAGTAAACGCTTACTACATTTTACAGTTTAAAACTTTTGCATAGTAGAATCCATCCTGTAATACACGTGCTGACAGAATTTTGGGGAAGACTCTCCTTCTACACCCCCTGCCCAAAGTACTAGTGTAGGTACTGGTGAAGAATTTTCAACAGGAATTTCAAAGCACACCTATATCACTGCATTAAATATTCCACTAGGTAAATAATGAGAAAGTTACAGCATTTCTCTGACTTAAGGTACCAGCTTAAAGAGCACTAGGAATGGGAAATGCCTGCCAAATCAGACTCTACTTAGAGCTCCAGAGAAACAGCTTGTCCTATTGTACAGAGATGGCAAGGCTGAAAGGAGAAGCTGTGCTGCTGGGTAGAGAGAATGAGCCCACTCAGCCTTAGCATGGGCAGGGCCATGTTCCCTAACGATGAATGATAGGAGGGGATAAAGAAGAAACATGGGTATGAGCAGGGAGGGTTGAAAACGATGACAATTCTTCCGGGAAACAAACCTTAAACTATTTGCATTAATTATTTTGTTATATTATAATCTTTAGGTTTCTGTCTGGATTGAATGTTCTTATTAAACAAGTAATCAATCATGCAGTGGGAAGTTAAGATTATGAAATGAACAAGAGATCTGTTCAACATGATGTTAACTTCAGATACACTATAGATTATTTTGTTTTACATATTTCGATAATGATAAGCTTAAATACGTGTACCCTTCATCATAATAAAATCCCAGTCATCAAGCATGAATCTAAAACATAAATATTTATATTACAGAGGTTCATAACTTTACAAAATTATTAATTTCTTCAGTACCTTATGGAATTATAAGTAACATGTAGAAATACCTTTATATGTCTAAATATTTTAGTACATAGAAATAGATAAGCTTTTAGATACTTTGTATTCATTATATGAACAGTAGTTACAAGATCATATGTAATATCATGATTAGCATAAAACCTAAAGCCTTAATACCTTTTCTGTTCTTTCAGACAACTCTAATGAATACAAGGTACTTTCCACAAACTTTTGGCCTTTTAAAAAAAAGCTGAAATTTAGCTCTTATATATTTTTTTAATAGGAAAACATTGGGATATCTTTTTCTTCCTTTTACCTAGAATGCCTCTGTTTAAAAGTGCCTTGAAGACATTTTAGCTCCCCTTCCTCATTAATGCCTATAAAACTAAAACTTTTCTTAAAAACTTTAAACTTAAAAAAAAAGAAAGTTTTAAAAGAATCTGCATCCAGCTTCTTCATTTCCATTTTGCTATTCTTCAAAGTAATTTTATACCTATGAATAAAGAAATCTTTTTGTGTTTATGGATGGCATGTTTAATGTTGCCTTAAATATGTCAACAAATATTTTTTAACTGCATTTATCACCTTGATTAGGCTTTCATCTAAGATACTAAGTGTAGTATCTCTTCTGCCCCTATACTGGGAGAGTAATTTCTTAAGCCATGTTGTATTTGGCCTGGTTTTCCTTACATCTTTTTCTCCCAGTGGAAATTACCCCTAAATATAATGGTAATTTTTATATTCAATTTTGCATAGTTTTTGTGGTTTTTGATGGGGTTGAAAGATAGAGTTCACTTAAAAGATTCCATTTCCATTTTATAATGTATTTCAGGTTTTGTATAACGACGTTTCCCAAATTAAAAATATAACATTTGAGAAATCAGTAACCCCACTAAAATTTAGACCTTTTATTACCATTCTATGTACAATTCACTTCTATATTGAAGCTCTGGTAAAAAAAAATTTTTTTTAATTCAAAAATTAGGTTGTTAACTTTTTTATAACTAGATTAAAAAAAAAAAACTAAATCAGTAGGTATTATAAAAGCCATATGTAAAAGGTTCCTTCCTAGTTAGTTTTTTTGTCCCTCCCTGGCCCCACTAGCATCTAATTATTACAGAAATTGTACTCAAAATAGTGGCACCAAATCAAATGATAATTCAAGTAAAATAAGTATTTGTTTACATAGAATGCTATAAAGAGAGGCTTTCATTTAAAAAAACTACTTCTAAAGATGCGGAAAACAAAATTGGTAAGATATTAGAATATTTGAACAATTATTTATAAAGCAAAGTAACATCAAAGTAGAGGAAAGAAACAAAGACTTCTGAAAAATGAGGTAGATATAAATAAGCTACTTATTTAAAAAATTTGTTTTTGTGAAAGCTTCTTTGAAGATTTTAAAAATCTATTCTACATTCCCCAGGGTATTTGTTAATTGTGTTTCACGTGATCTACAACATACAGAATTATGTATTTTCTCCTTTGGTTGTCCCTATAAGCAAAAGAGTATTTTAATAAAAACTTGAAATGAGTGTGTCATGCTTTTTGTTAACTTCAGCATAGAAACACCAGAATAAGTTTGACATTTCTGTCTACTGAGGTTATAGTTTAAAGAAAGCATGTCCCCTTCTTTCTGGATGTTCCTGCAGATTGTGTTGAAACAAAGGCTCTTTAACAGTTTGCTTTCTGCTTTTTCATGTGCTTTATTCCAATAAGGGGGAAACTTTGAAATGACACACTTAACATTCTCCTTGTTCTGGGAGCCTCAGGAGAGCTATCTGATGGTTGGAAGGTCAAGATAGGAAAATCACTCCTTGCTCTCCCATAGTGATAATAATAATATAAACGTAACAGGGTTATGTTATTAGAATTGAGAGCCATAGGCTAGTCCCTTACAGTAGAATCAGTGTTATTTCACAGAATCCACATTCTGAAAGCATAATAGACAGGAGGATCTAGAGAGGGAAAAATTCAAGAGGATAGGTTGGCAGCCTCAGTGACTTAGTGGAATGAGAGATCTAAGGAATTTGGGGGGTAGAATTAATTTCAAGAAGGACTGCCCTGCTTCCCCCCTCCCTCCACCTGCCGTGCTGCCTACTTATCATCTCTCTCTCTGTCAAACAAATAAATAAAATCTTTAAAAAAAAAAAAAAAAGAAGAAGAAGAAGGTCTGTACGTTTGATGAGGAAAGTTGTTCTTTGCTGCAGGTGTCCAGTGCAGTGAGCCACGGGGTACGGAGAGGCAGAGGGTCAATCCGGAGATGCAGAGTTGGGAGGGAGCATCCCAGCTAAGGAAATCAGCAGGCAGGCAGGCTCTGGTATGGCTGGCCCCACCTAGCACCCACACCTGACAGGTTTTGAATTCCTTAAGCTGGCAACTAACTGCATTAGCTTATAGGTGTTACGACTTATGATTCTTGGGCCTCTTATATTTTTCCTAACCAATTTAAAAAAATTCATTTTACTTTTTTTTTATTTTGAAGTCCGTGCTAGAAGGATGGAGTCAGCAACAACTCCAAGGTCCAGGTTTTGCGGTGAGAACTCTCATTGCAAAAGCAGAGAAAAGAGTTCTGCCCTTCTGGGTGGTGCTATGACCCAGAAAGGAGCCTGGGAACGTGCAGTACCCTCATCCGTCACGGTGGAGGATGTCAGAAATGTCCTCATTTGATTGAAGTTAGCCACTGAATTTAGACCCAGTTACCACTGAAATTCTTTTGTGGCAAAAAATGATCGCACTGTCAGCCTTCCTGACACACATCGTGCTGCAGCCAGAGGGGTCATTCTAGAAGACATGCAGGTAATTACTGCCCCAACCCCAGTTCCAGTTCCCAGCAAATTGCAAGGCCTTTGTGCTCCTTTGCCTCAGAGGGCTCAGGTTACCTAGTAGGAAGTAGGAGCAAAGCAGACAACCTGCCTTTTGTTTTCCAGCAGTTTCACCTGCTTCAGGGGATTCTCTGGGGAAGGGGGGCAGTGCCGAATTGAGTGCCTTTGCCAGAAGATGAGAAGAGACCTAGGTCTCCCAGACATAGGGACTGTGCCGCAGGTCTCAATGTGCCCTCAAGTGCCTGGCTCCAAAGTCTGAAGTTGCCTCTTTCTAGAGGTTTCAACTTAGAGCTGTTAGCAGCCCAACCCTCACGGTCTCGGGCTCCTAGACTTGCCTCGAGGATTCTGTGAGATTCAGGGTAGGCAATAGAGCGTTGCTCTTGGCAGATACTGGATGTGATGTGATAGGGCTCTGTGTCAGATTTTACTTGATTTAAAGAAAATTATGAGAAGCACCTGGGTGGCTTAGACGGTCAAGTATCTGACTCCTGATTTCAGCTCAGGGCACAATCTCAGGGTCATGAGGTCAAGCTCCGCATCCAGCTCCACGCTCAGCTAAGAACCTGCTTAAGAGTTTCTCTCTCTTGCCCTCCCCACACTAATGCTTGCTCTCTCTCTCTTCCCCTCCCTCTCAAAAATAAATAAATAAATATCTTTTTAAAAAAACAAGAAGAAGAGTTAAGAAAAGAGCTAAGACATGTTGCAGAATGCCGTTCGCAGAGTGGTGTTTCCGTCTCTCAGCCTCATCCGCGGGCATGCTTACTGTCATCTCAGCCTGTCTCACCACCTTCTCCTTTCCTCCCGCTCCCCTCGCTGTAGGCCTTGCCCTCCCTCAGCACACCAAATCTATTCCACCCTCGGGTTTGCATGAATTGTTTCCCCTGCCGCCCTCAGCTGTTGATCCAGATTGCGCTTGCTTATTCTTTTTTTTTTTTTTTAAGATTTTATTTATTTATCAGAGAGAGAGAAGGAGAGAGAGCGAGCACAGGCAGACAGAATGGCAGGCAGAGGCAGAGGGAGAAGCAGGCTCCCTGCCAAGCAAGGAGCCCGATGTGGGACTCGATCCCAGGACGCTGGGATCATGACCTGAGCCGAAGGCAGCTGCTTAACCAACTGAGCCACCCAGGCGTCCCACGCGCTTGCTTATTCTTATTCAGGGCTCAGCTCACATATCTCTATCACCATTTCTTTTCTTTTTTTTTTTTCTTTTTTTTTTCTTTTTTTTTTCAGATTTTATGTATTTATTTGTCAGAGAGGCAGCGAGAGGGAACACAAGCAGGGAGAGTGGGAGAGGGAGAAGCAGGCTTCCCACCAAGCGGGGGGAGCCCGATGCAGGGCTCAATTCTGGGACCCTGGGATCATGACCTGAGCCAAAGGCAGACGCTTAACGACTCTGCCACCCAGGCACCCCTCTATCACCATTTCTTAAGTAGCAGCCCCTCCCCAGTCACAATCCTATTACCACTTTACTTTTTAGTATCAGCTAACTCTCTGAGAGTATTTAGTTATAATTTGTTCTTCTCTACCAGCATGTGAAACCCACAAGGGTAGGGAATTTGTTTCTTTTTTTATCACTGCTTTAAACACAGTTCTCCAGCACCCTAAAGTGTGGGACATGTGGCAGGCACACATGTTTTCTAGATGAATGAAGGATAGCAGATCCTATCATACTTCCACTTAAAATGGTGGCTCCTCATTGAACTCAGATAAAGGCCCAAGTCTTCATCAGGCCTCCCCAGACTCTCCTCAGCCAGGCCCACCTCGGACCTTTTCATTTTGATGTGGGTTAGTTGAACACAGCAGTAAACAAAGAATTCTTGAGACCTTTACAGTGCAGCTTATTTTATCTAAGTAGCAAAGGGATAGTACCCATGGGTGGAAAGAGCTGAGCTTTTTGCTGTGAGGCTGGTGGTTAGATACTTAGTATCAAAGAGAAGGGGGTATGCAGGGAGTGTCAGATTACAAAAGTTTCTTTGAATTTCTACTTGTAAAACTACTTTTGCAAGATATCTCTAGTGCCTATTATTCAGTTTGATATTAACTATAGGTGAAATATACCTTTACCCTTAAAGAGTGTAACAATGGGCACATATTTCATGCTTATCAAAACTATGTAGACTTCAGGTCAGCCTTCTGGACTAAGGGTAAACATTTTCCTTACATGCTTCTGTCCCTCATCAGTTTCCCGGCTGACCAATTTTCAGTCCTTAAATCTGTAAGGTTGCTGAAGGGCAAAGGGCTCATCCTCTATAACTTCGAGCTGATAGGGGTTATGGGGGTATCCCTACCTATGGACCAAAATTGGTCATTATCTGTTCCTATGAATAATAATCACAGAAGACCACTGCTGCAGAGTCCAGACATGGACATGGAGGAAGGATTTTTTCAAGAAGTAAGGATCATCTGTTGACTGGGCAAAGGAGTCAGGAACTGTTTACATGTATCTCGACAATAAGAGAGAACAAAGCAGAAGAGACGACACATTAGGATTAATATGGTAAAAATAAGTGTGATAAAAAGACCCTTTAAGGTCCACCACCCAACCAGTCATTAAGTGACAATGTAGAGTCTATAAGAGCACCCATCTGGTGAGTATTTTCTGTAAGTAACCCTGTCACATTTTTGTCATGATCTGGAATGAAGACACGACATTCTATTTTAATAATGACACATGTTCTTCCTTGTGCTGCTGTTAAGACATCTGATGCCATTCTGTTTTATAGAACTGCTTTAAACATTTGAGTTACATTAGTGTTTAATAAATAATGTAATGCTGGGATGCCTGGGTGGTTCAGTCAGTTAAGCATTTGACTCTTGATTTCAGGTCATGTTCTCAGGGTCGTGAGATGGAACCCCTCATTGGGCTCTGCTTAAGATTCTCCCTCACCCTCTGCCCCTTTCCACCCTACCCCTGCTCTCTCACACTTGCTCGCTCTCTCTCAAAAAAATAATAATAATAATAATATTTTGGAAGTCATTTGGCCTTAATTGTGTAGCATGTGGTGTTACCCATCTTATAGACTGTTTTCTTTAGCAAGCAATCAGGTAATTAAGAGGCACTTTTATGGAAACAAAAGAAAAATATAAGTCAATGGTTAGAGCAAATTACAAACCCAGTATCTGAGCCTCAACTGTTGCCAGTGAGTTGTTTAGATGTCAGGCTCGAAAGCATCCTCAGCTGCAGTGGGAATAGGCAGTGGGAATCAGGTGAATTTTTCTGGTTTGTAAATCAGATGTCTCTGGCGATCCTTTTGAATGGCCTGTACTTCAGCAGGCACAAAGACTGTCTATACATGAGTTTTGTGGCAATTTCTCTGAAGCTGACCTCAGGCTGTCCAACATCAGTTTTCAAGGTTTTAGGAAAAAGGAAAGTTTTAGTTTTTAATGACTTTCAGTCAAGATAATGGAAGAAGATTGGAAACCTTAGTTAGAACACCATAGCCAGATATTTGAGGAAACCAGAACAACTCAGGTTCTAGTTTAGCTTATAATAAGTAGTATTAAAATTGAATATCTACAAAGATGTATTAAAACATATTTTCTCTCTATAATTACACTCATTTTTAATCAGATAGCCAAATCAAGATTAATTTGTAAAACAAGTTCAGTTTTAACAATAAAGATGGCCATAACCTCAGTAACAATGGTGATTGATCATATAATCTTTTAAAATCTGCTTTCCTAGACCTATTTTATTATTATTAACATA